TAAAGGCATACAAAAAGGCTACTTTTATCAGAATATAATGTTTTCCATATGTATTCACACAAATGCTTGTCAAATGTCTGTGCCCTGGTATGTGTAGTTGGTAGTTGTCTTTTGACACACTACCACCGATTCTCTATTAGGTTTGTACATCCAGGCAATTCTACAATTTTTGGGTGGGGGTGCCATATGGAACTCTTTCATTAAAGCACAAAGAGTCCAATTCATGCACTTGTGGTGAAATTGGATTTAAAATTTATGGTGTGTTATTAATACTCTTAAAAACTTAATTCCTCATTTCTGCATCAATTCTCAAAATACTTTAGCCTGTAGTAGTCATAGTACATTTCTGGGATGAAAAAAAAATATATATATTTATCATCTGCACATACAATATCTTAATGCTTCAACTGTTGTTCCACAAATCCAGTATCTTTAACCTACCATTCTGCATATGCAAAATTTTATGCCTGTCTTATTTAATATTAACTATTCTGCAATAATCAACATAATATTTTTAGTTCTACAAAATATCATCAGATTAAAAATTCTTCTTGCCATTTCTATGGTACTGACTGGCTAGTAAAGAAAAATCATAAAAACAAGTATCTGAGAAACTGTCTAAAATTATTCTGGGCCTAACTAGGAAAGAAAATAATATCTCTGAAAAATTAATGCCTTTTGACTAACATCTTTATACTCCAGCATGTCAATACACTATTTTTATAAGTCCTCCTTTCCTGGTTTTAATAGAACTCCAACTAATAAGGTGTAAACATGAGTTCTGTATCTTTGTGGATTGCAGCTTTTTTAAATTAACATTAAGAAACACTGCTATTAAGAAACTGTGTTATTTATTTAATTTACCTAGTTTCATTTAAAAGGTAATATGTGAAATACTTACTGGACTATAGTACTGAAGCAAACAATAAATGTTATTTCAAAGTACATAATATGATATATATGAATGTGAATTAGTGACAGAAAAAGGTCAAGTGTTCTGCCACAGAAAGTCACATACTCTGTCACAAAAAAAGCCATGTGTTTTGCCACAGAAAGTCATAATTTTTTAACTAATGATGTTTACAAATTTTGGCACAGCAGACCATGAGAATGATCTATAATGACAATCAAAAGAGATTAAAAATAAAATAAAAACATTAAGTACAACTTTAAAAGTGTTATCTTCTAGACTCTAGACTCTTAGAATTTTCATACATTTAATTTGACTGATTCATTTATAAGCATAAAGAAAACAATAGTTGTGAACTCAATAATTTTTATTTTGCTTTCATTGAAAATGTGTTGATCTAAACAGTTTAAACATGAAACATTTAGCTCATAACAGCACTTTCTTATTATAAAAAACAAATGAAATTATTAAACCTATAGTGCTTTGTCAACATTGGATATAACAATGATAACAAATAATGAAAACAACTGGGTCTAAAGAGGTCAAATACTCAGTGATGCACATGGTCTTATACAGGCTTGTCATTTCTGTTCTTTATACCTATAACTCTGCTAAAATAGTCTATTTCTTTAACACACGCTACTGCAGAACAGCTTTACTGACACAAAACTTTTAATCTCCATGCACTTCATCCATAAAATCTTGTGCTATGAGAGTTTTCATCAAATTTTACATGAAAAAAACCCAAGAAAAGCCATTTAGTACTTTATGTGGCTAATTTCAGTAAGAATAAATAACAGGTTTTAATGTCTTCAATCTAATGGCAAATTATTAGAAATTTAATCAGCTTCGACTTACTGGTGGTCGTTTTCCATAACTTGTACGAACAGCTTGTTGGAAACCCTCGTCATATTGTAGAGTCTGTAATAAAGTGTGCCAAATTAATAATATTTACATACATAAATGTACATGCACTTATGCACAAATGTTTCTATGAATATTCCTTAATTCAGATACATATCATATGAATACCTTCACACTAAGTATATTTTGAACAGATATGTCAAAAATAGCAGCAAGCTGGAAGGATAAAAATAAACTTTCATGATATGAAATTTTGAGAAAATTTTTAAAGCCTTAAATAATATAATTAGCTTAGTAGACACAACTTTTAGAACCTATTTTAATAGCTTATTCTATTTTGTCTTAACATTTATAGTTGCACTTAAATATTTTTTTAATTCAAGACACAAAAACATAGAAATATTTCACCTGTATAATCAAGAACATATTAAAAGTACTAATTGCTATTTGAAATTATTGTAATGCTATTGTTTAATTCTGAAATTACAATCTAAACACATTCATAAGTCTTAAATTATTGTCAGAGCAGTCTCAGTAGGTCCAACCAAATAGTAAATGAAATACACGCGTGAACTGATAAATTAAATCAGCAATATTTTCTCTTTATGAAAAAAACAACAAAGAAACTGAGCTGCATACACGTTCCTCTCATGATGACATGAAAACAACATTTTAGCATAATATCTTAACTGTTATACATAAATTTAAACTCATTCAATTTTAGAATATTTGCCTTGATCAAGATTAAAAAATAAAGTTTAAATTACAATATTAAACATGTTTAATTTCTGGTATTTCTGACTTCAAATGGGTCTTTCCTACACTGAAAATGTATTTCCGATAAATTCTTACCTCCACTCACAGAATAGTTTTTCCCAACTTGTACTGCTCTTTATATGCACAACTTTTTGGTCACCACTGGCCTTGATACTCCAAGCTACCCTCATGTGTTTTCACATGAGGCAGCTGCGTGATAGCATGCAACTTAGAATGCGACAACTCTCCACTAGTAGGAGCTTGACACAACTCCAAGCACAGCTGACTCCCTCTATGCAGCTTAGCCCAACTTCACTTTGAGATTGAGCAACAGAAAAGGAAAAAGACACCAAAAATGGGGAGGAATCGTGTGATGTGTGAGAGGAGGTAAGAATCTATCAGAAATACATTTTCAGTGTAAGAAAACATTAACTTCTGATACAATATCTTACCTCCACTCTCACATTGCCCTGGTGGAGAAACTGGTGTAACAGTACCTAGATGAGCTCCCTTCAGAAATTGCCCAAAGGAAGCCCATGGGTTGTGTGAATAAAGAGTATGTAAGATACACCATGGGAGATCACACCACTTCTAAGCCAGATATACTCTTTGCTCGTGAAAATGATGTGTTGCAATAATCGTGGAATCATAGGAGGGATCCTGGAAATAATGAAGGAACCCCTGATGTAGAGGGACTAAGTCACAGTGGACCATAAGGGGGAGATCAACCTCAACTAACACCAGTAGTACCATGACAGAAATATCCGGCCCATGTTAAGAAGAGGGTCTTCTGCCATTCAACGCAGACATAAGAATGGGAATGGAAAAAGATCTTCTGTCGAAAGACCCTGCATCATGTGTGCATGTTCAGCCTAACCAACACCAGTACCCCCAGGAATTGACATCCAGACAACAGTTGAATAGCAAACAGCAGTGTGACAGTTCAACCCCAGTCCAGAACCAGGCAGCATTGGGAATGAGTCATCCAGTCCACAGTAAGAGGAGGGTACCTAGGTCATTCACATGTGAGGCATCTGGAATAGTACATCAAGTCTGCAGTAAGAGAAGTGTTTATACACCATCTACACTGGCAGAACACCTCTGCCCTACTCGCAACTGAGTGGAATTAAGCACACTCAGGAAGAAGCCTCCTTGGTCCACCACTCCAGTGGCTAGGATCAGATAAGTTGTAAGGACTCCCATACTGCACAGGAAGAAGGGGGTAAAATGCACTGAAGACTCCAGAAGAATGCAGCACTGGAGACAGAGCAATGGGTCACCATAAAACCATATTTTGAAAAGCAGACTGTTCCTGATTCAGTCAAAAGAAAGAGCAGCAGGGATGAGCAGCAATCCCCTTCCACTTCACTCATGTTAGTTAATGAGTGTATGGTCTGGTGAGGACATATTTATGACACAAAACACCAAGAGGAAAAACCTACAAGTGGTCTTGCAGAATACCCCATCTCAACAGTGGGCATTATTGATAATACTGAATGGACATACAGTGCGGGTTTAAGAATAAGTATATCTGGTCAGGCAATACTCACCACTGAGCAGGATCCGTATATGCGAGAAAAGCCCCTATAAAAAACAAAACAAAAAATAGAACACCTACCCACTCATAGAGAAACCATGGAGCTCAAGATGGTGATGGGAGGTAGTTGGCAACCTGTAGAGCAGGAAATGGCCATACAATGAAGGATGTAAAATAAACATATGGGGAGTGGTTCACATGCCAGCACAAACTATATCCTCTAATGGATGACAGAATCGGGTAGCCAGGGGCATGGTAAGGTGATGGATTTGATGGGTAGAGAAGAGGAATATATGACAATCATCAGGAGACAGGGAAGAATAATCCAGGTGAACAAGCTGGCGAATCTAACTCATAAGGGGAATAGGATAAATATAAATTTATTCAATGAATGAACAAATGGGAAAAGGAACCACAAAGGGGAGCAGTGTGAGCCACATAACAGCAGAGAGTCCTGACAAGACATAAGATAGGAGAGATGATAAAGGTGTGAAATGGAAGGGAGGGAAAAGGGAGTGAAGGTGGATATCAAAAGCCCTCTGTTGAAAAGCCAGGTAAATTAAAAAAAAAGGTTGCTGGAGAGTAGGTCAGGATGGAGGAAAACTATGATGAGAAGACGAACAGCAGTAGACATACCACATACATTGGCAAGTGTAATTGGAAATCAGGGAAGCAACCTGCAGGGAAAGTCCAGTCCATCTGGCAAGGGATCAGACAAAAGCCACGCGTTAAGACCAGGGTCCAAGAAAGAAATTCTGGACTCTGGTGCTTCCCTTGATTTTGGGCTTCTCATCTTCTCTTACCCTCAATCGTGTATATTATTTTTTCCCCTTGCAAGACTCACCAAAATGCAGCATCAGCATATAAATACTACTTTTTTTTTTGTTAGAGAGAGAGAGAGAAGGAGGCCTTTTCATTATGTGTGGAAAATATTTGCTTGAGCCCAGGCCCCCCAAAGGCATGGGCACAAGTGATTTGCACCAGGTGCACACCCCTCTCCTGGGGCCTGGTGAAGACAGAGTGTTGAATGGAAGGATGTAGTGAGCCTAAGTAAGGATGTCTGAAGAGGGTGAGTGAGAGGGAAAAAGGAAAAGAAGGTGTCAATAGAAGCAGGTGCAGAAGTGAAAACAATGGCTGCACTGGTCAAAGTGGTGCCACCAAGAGGATACAACATGGAGTAGTGCGGATAACAGAGAGGATACGAGGGGAGAAAGGCATAGAGGGAAAGGTCCCCTCAATCCCGACTGAGCACATTGACAGCTACAGCCAAAGGATGTGGAGTTGGGGACCAAAACCTGGGAAGCTGAGAATGCAGTTGGATAGCAAATGCATCCAGTTCCAGAGTACCCCACTGGAAACACAGCCAGCCAAACATTTGTGGGTCAAGGGATCTCTCCATGGGAAGAATCTTGTTGGAGTGTAATAAACAAACTGTGACCAGATTCAGGGCACCTGGTATATGATACACCAACAGGAGAATGTGATGGCTGTGGGCCCAAAACAGGAGACCTCGACCAAGTATTTTCTTGCCAAGTGAAGGATGAGACAACCATGGATTTGTCAGAATGGAACACAACCAACCAGTTCCAGAGAGGTGGGAGGAAATGAACCAAAACCCTACAGACAGCAAGGAATTCCAAGAGATTGATATGTAGAGATGATTCATCAATAGATCAACAGCCCAAAAGTTCCTGCATGTTCAGATATGTACCCAAACTCAAAAGAGAAGCATCCATGAAGAAGTGCACCCCCAGACAAGAAGAAGGAAGAGGAACACCCACTGCGGAGGTGTCCCTGTTCAACCACCAGGTGAAGTCCACAAGAAAGGAAAGAGGGAGATAGAGATGTCCAAGGGATCCCAAATGAGGTTCCATGAGCTAGTAAAACTCACTGAAGATGTTGTATGTGGGCTCAACTGAGGGGAATCAGGGTCTCTAAAGAAGCCCACATCTCCCAAAGAGACAGAACCACTTGCACAGTTAGAGAAGGAGAGGAGAAATGTTCTGAACCAGAAGCTTCATAGATTGTAGGTGAAGGGGAGAAGGGTGGGCCCAGTTGAAACAGGAATTGAAAAATACCCCAAAATGAACACGGTATTGAGTAGGTGAGAGGAAGATCTCCACCTTGACTAGCCAACCTACCCATACAGCCTCTTGTACAAGAAACTGGGAAGAGGTGGCTTGCAAAGGAGCTAGAAGTAGCCAGTCATCCAAATTATGGTGGAAACGAGGATCCCTGGAATGGAGAATACAGGCAAAGCCCTTGACAATCCAACAAAACCATAGGGAGCTCAAACAGAAGAGCCTGGAATTGGTAGATACAACCACAATGGACAAAACAAAGAAAAACTGGGATGCTGGGGAAATGGGAATGTGGAGATAAGCATCCAAGACATCTAACTTTGTCATTCAAAGACCAGGAGTGAAAGCTCATCGAGAATCCATTTCAGTAAGGAATGGAAGTACAAAAGCCCAAACAGGAACTCCAAAGACTCGCATATTATAATAAAAGACACATAATGTTAACATATACTAACTAAAAGTTCAGAACACAAATATAGTTCTCATAAAAAATAACGAACTGATCGAAAATTCCATGAAGGAAAGCATGAGCAAAAAATATGTCTGAACACCATAAGTGCCAATCGAGAAATGAAGTTGGGCTAAGCTGAACAGAGGGAAACAGCTGTGCTAGGAGTTGTGTCGCACTCCTACTGCTGAAGGATTACCATATGCTCATTTGAATGCTATCACCCAGCTGCCTCACATGAAAACATGTGAGGGCAAGTAAGAGTATCAATGCTAGTGGCAAGTGAAAATGAGGGCATATAGAGGGCAGTACAAATCAGGATAAGATATTTTGTGAAAAGAGGTAAGATATCGTATTATAAATTTAACTTTCTTAATGAATGTATAAAGCATATTTTTTTAATTATACATATTAATAAATATTGGTGACTTTAAAACAAAATATTTATCACTTGAAAGTGAAAATTATTTTACTTCAAACTGTCTAAAATAATTCTAGTGCAACAAAATATTTTTTATATAATTAGATTGATATGTTTTCACTAAACTCAAATACTTTTCCTTTCTATAATAGTCATTTTTAATACACACACAACAAATGAACCAGTTTAGGAACCTTCCTATTTAAGAATACGACTGAGTTTCACATACTTTGCTGGCATCTCTCTAAAAGGAAGTATAAATACTTGTATTATTTTGTATTAGACCAATTTAGGATAAGTATATTGTGTTGTATTGGATACATTTCTTCCAAAACACCCTGCATGGCCTATATTCTGCTTTCCTCAACATAGTTTAAAGAAAAAAGTTTCAAACCCAATACCAATAAGGTTTATTAATAGCTAAAATTAACTTGAAATTTTCCATAGTAATTTTTATTATACCATTACCATTATATTATGGTATAATAAAAGTAGTTAGGTGAGTAAAATCTTGCACAGACAAATTATCATCACGTTGTTACATATATATTTAATGAAATAGCTCAAAATATTCTTTGTAAGAAATTCAACAATTTGTTTATACATTAATGTACCATATTGCATTGAACATTAATAACCAGTTTCGTGACACTGGCCTCAACCACTATTTACCGATAACCATTTTTGTATTTATACCTTCTTTATTAATTATGCTATTCTCTAATTCTTATTTAAACTAAACCAAATTTGGTATGTATTGACTTAGCAAACATTTTCAAGCTACCATTCAACAACTTTTATTCATTTTTTCTTTAATGACATCAGTATAAATGAGATTTGCTGCACACTATAAACACCAATCCAGATAAAAAAATTTTAAAGTAATCAGACAATAGTTTTTCTGAATTAGATGTGAAAAGGATAAAAAATTCCTATTATAAAGATATATATAGCATAGAACATTGTAGTGCTTCTCTTTATCATTAATAGTTTCATTTACATGTGTGTGTCAATTTTTACTTTTTTTTTGTATTGCTTTATCAAGACACACAACCAAACAACAACAAAAAAGAATGCTTCAAAAAATTCAAAATGGTAAATTTACCATAAAAACACTTAAACTTATATTTGATAATCACTAAGATTTTGGCTCTATGCAGTGCAACATGAGACCCTTCACTCTGGTTTACTAAGATTTTGATCTATGCAGTGTAACATAAGACCCTTCATTTTGGTTTACCAAGATTTAGACTCTGTGCAGTGTAACACGAAACCATTCACTCTACTTTACCAAGATTTTGGATCTATACAGTGTAACATGAAACCCAGTGTCTGTATTGTTAAAATTAATACTACCAATTTCTGTATGTAATATTAAAACCAAGATCATGAAAAGAATAATAGACAAGACTTCCATACTTGTACCACCAAACATTTCACTAATTACTTTTTCAAAACACAACCAATGCACTCTTTATACATTCAAAGTATGTGAATAATCAGATGTAAATATTTTATCTTAAGTGTACGTCTTATGATAATAAAGATATTTTCAGTCCAAAAAAGGAAAATCTTAAATATACATGAGCAATTTTAAATAAAGTTTTAAATTAATGTTGTTTATAAAGGGTACTTTTACACTTATTTTAACTAGAAAAATGTAGATGGAGCCTCTTGATACCTCAATCCTATAGATAGAACTGTTAAAAATATGAGCAGCTCTGAGAGAAATCTAATGAATATGAAAGCCCATGTACAAGGAGTATTTCATTAACATTATTTTTGAATTTAAGGAACTTGGTAATTTTCATTCAGACTAACATGACAGGCCCATTATTTTCATATGTACAAAATTTTATTTTTAGAAAGTTGATATTTTGGATAGATATGAAGCACAAAAAATTGTTTTTAAATAAGATATATTTGCACAAGATCTGTATTATAATATGCACACAATACATATTTAGACAGGCAAGTCAAAGATCAACAACAGCACACAAAACATTTGGATTAGGAGAAATGTGACTGGAGATTCCAGAAAGAGCTTTGTGATGTGCGAGCTTCATGTCTAATGAACCGGCTTCTTTCAATTAATCAGTGGTCATAAGGGTTCATATGAATCACAAAAATATTAAACCCAGTCAATCACAAATCCACATCATTAAGGAAACTGTAGAAACTTTCAACAAACATTATACTGAATTTTCTATATTTTGTTACATAATAGACTATTAAAATATCAACTCAATTTCATTTGTCAAGCATACTCTTGACAGTACAGACTTCATACACAGCATGACCTTTATGAATATTTATATTATTATGTAAACTTATTTGCCAAATGTTCTCTCCTACCACAGTATGCACAATAATAACCATATGGCAGATAATCAACAACCTTGAAAGCAAAGATAACCATACATTTTGACATGATTTGGTTAAATTAATCAACATCTGTATACCATGAAAGCAAGTTCTATTTATTGGTTTTCTTGCTACTCTCTTAGTTATATACTACTATATTACATATTGTGACTGATATTGTTGCATCAGTGTAACCACACTTGCATATATGACATTTATTTAAATCAGATAAAGCCATTACCTACTCAATCCTCTCTACTGGACGATTAGGAAGTAATAATAAAAAAACCACCAAAAGTAACATGTAGCTATGTTGTTTGTATTAAACATTTTATAAACATATCTATAAAAGCAAGCCAACTGTACAGTAAATGAACAAACTTTAATAGCAACATTTGTTCATACCCAAAAGCAGATATTTTTCATATGACTTAAAGAGTAAATAATTTCCAGGAATTGCAAAATAAGGTAAAAACACATATTTGCACATTAAATGCCCTCCCTGTATATGTATAGTAAGAATTCAATGTAGTTGAGAGCATATATACTTTAATTATATAAAATTTTAAATACATCCATATTTAGAGGAGCTATTAACATAATCAAAAATGTTTCCATTGAACTTAAGATCTAGTAATGAAGAATATGCTTACACTCATGTCAAGTGCAGGATGATAATCATTGTATCCAGAGTAAAGATCATCTTCATCTGAAGGAGCTAAATGAATATCCTCCATTATGTCACTTGTATAAAATGTTGAAACCTGTAGAAAAAATTAATTTATTACAACCATGTATCTCTCTTGGAACAATGTTTGATCTGGAAAAAAGACATGCTAGAATCCAGTTAAGACAGTTTTATTTTTCTAACAGGATGATTGACTGACTGTTTTGCTGAATTTCTAGCACATCTACCAAGCAGTAGAGGAGGTCAGCACTTCATAGAGGATTTTAAGAAGAGAATCAATGATCTCCTACAAAATAAAGAGTAGGGTTAAATGCTTACTTTTCTCAAGGATAGCCTTAAAAAACAAAATGGTTCCATGTTGTCTTAATGTTATAAGAGTCAAGCATAGAAGCAGTAAAATAATTCCATAAAACATAGATATGGAGAAGATCAGGGTATTAAGCAAATTTGTATATTACAATACTTACACATATGTACCTTAGAATGAAACAATATTACCAAATATGAATTTACGATATAATGACTATAAATGAAAGGTACTATGTGCAAAACAAAGACATTCAGGATGTTCCATGTCACAAGTACTGCAAACGAAAATTGTTGATACTGAAACTATTAGATTAAGCCTATTTTTCAACAAATTTCGTAAAATCCACAATCTAAGGATCAGCATAACAATCACTGTGACTGGTACCTGTCCCTGTTATTAGCACTTACAATGTCTTTTTGTCATTCAATTTAATGAGAAGCAAAAACACAGCTACACCAGATATAAGTTTACAATTATAAATTTTTTAATTTATCTGACTGTTTAATACATATTTGTTTCTTTAAAACCATCAAACAATAGCTGTATGTATTTTCTTTCATTAAATTGCATGTTAAGTTACACATGGGCAAAATCCTTCGTTGTATGCAGTCATGAGTACTGCCACTTTATTTCTTGAAAATTTCACCCTCTCGTTTCTAACTGTAACAGAAAACAAGAAAATGAAGCAGTCAACAGAAATTTATTGAAACAACTATCTAATATTTTGCTGTTCTGGTTTAACTCATTACAGTAAGTGTTCAGAAATGTCCATTTCCAATAACAGCTTCCATACATGGTAACATATGGTACATGGCTCTATGCAAATGACAATTTTGAATAGCAATAATGTGTCACTCAATACTGTTCTTAAGATCAACAGCTATCTGTGGATAGTCATAGGACACCAATGCTTTTAGATATTTCAATAACCAGGTGTATGATCTCACTAATTAAATTACATGAAAAGTTTGCTGGCAACATCATTCTGCTTCGATGTTGCCATAATGTGACCACTGAAGGGGAAAAATCCACCAAAGTAATGACAACAAGCAATCAGAAGACACATTTCACTGTAATCTTGTCACATTTAGTCAATGGTAACAAACTTCCTCAATGATAAATTTTTTAGGGAACGAAGCTGCCCTCTGGTATGATTGTATTGGTATCATGCACTTCTACTATTGTCTTCCATTACTGCTAAAAGAAATTTAAAAGCAATAAAAGTCACAATATTTCTTCTTTTACCTTTATATTCTATAATTTCTAAGAAAGAAATAACTGCTATGAAAAATGATGTGGAATATATGTAAAATGTTTTCATGTAAACCAACCAGTAACTCAACAACAGCTGTGCTACAGTTGTGGTTTATACTCAAGTGCAGTTTATACCCAAGTTTTTTTGTAATGTTGTCTTGTAGAAGATACTTTTACTATTAGTAATACAATTAAAAACTAATGTTATAACGATAACAAAACATTTTGAGTAAGTTATAACACATTTTATTTTTAACTTTTTATTGTGCATTTTGAACCTAAGTTGCAACTAGTCTAAAGAAGTAGTCGATCCAGACTCAACTGTATTATAATATTAATGTCTTAAATTTTAGAATACAAATACCACCAAGAACTCACCTACCAGTGTCACTTTCACTCACAATATCAATGTCACTGTTTGACTAGTACTACTACTAGTAGTATTTATTGTTCATGCTTTTCGTTCGTTAATAAATAATTATTCAACTATGTAACTTTAATTTCATTAAAAAGTAGTGTTATTCTTAAAGCCTAAACTTAGAAGAACTTATAAAAGTTAAAATCAGCCAAGGTAGGCTATATTTCTTATAATTACTTTTAATTGTAACTTGTAAGCAATGACACCAATGATGTTACTTTCAACCAAAATATTTTTAATCACGATCAATCATTATTGATAAATCAACCAGTTCCCACCAGAGGGCAGGTATAAGTAAAGAGATATGTAGGTACAGTAATGCACATTTTGTAATAAAAACTTAATGTCCTCTCATTTTACTAAATTAAATAAACGCTGATGGGACGAAGAAGGACTGCTTTATTCTCGAGCACCCCTGGCCACTATTTTGTTAATAATTAACGAAATTTGCCTAAATACCCACCGTGCCCTAGTCAGGAACGTCGAGAGCCAGCACGAACCCTGGGGCAAACATCTTTGCCGGGTCTCTTTTCTCTCTCTTTTTAAACATTTTAAAGTTTGGTTTGGTTTATTACGAATTTCGAGCAAAGCTACACGAGGGCTATCTGAGTTAGCTGTCCTTAATTTGCGGACTTTACGTCATAACCAAGTTTCATTCGCCCAGACTCCTGGGCATTTGCCCCCCTGGCGGCCTGGCCCTAGTTAGTTAGCTAAAAGTTAACCCAGTGCACAAGGGCGGAATGGCCATAACAACTGTCTGTGCGATTACTGGGTCTGTACGACAGTTTTAACCGATGACCTTCTCCAGGAACTATTAATATAAATTGAAAATAAAATTGTCAATTACTGTAGTATAGAGTTTTGATTTTTAAGCTTTGCATACAGCTATTAATTAATTTTAATTAAGCCTTCAAGCTCGTAAGCAGAATGTTTGAAAGGGAGTTTCTAATTTGTGAGATAAAAACTAACACATATTGTGCGAAACATAATCAACGTGCTAATTTTACGGGGTCTGTGGCGTGTCCCTCAGAAAAATTATAAAACAAATAGGTGTTGTAAGATTAAATCTGGAAGCAAGTTTGCTTGAAATATAACTTAAAAATTGCATGGCTATTCATATAAAATCCATAAACATCCAGTAAAGTCAACAAATAAACATTCTGTTGCAACATTGCACGAGGAGCTAGACTTAAATTAGCATAAATATGTATTTTATTTTAATAAAGTACTGTACTATCTACATGCAGAGTAGTTGTTAATTGTTAAATTATGTTATTAATTTAAAGAACTCTGTACAATAATAGTATATTAGCTATTTCAGTCATTTGTTATCATATACGTACATGTATGCACTATTGAAATAATATTGAAATATTCTGGGGTGCTTTTCCATAAATAACTTACCTATAGTTTCAATGTTGATAGCATTGTCACAATTATTATGTATTAAAGCTAGAGCACTCAGTCTTTCTTCGGTTTGTGTACACCTCAGGTGGATAGAAGATGCCAAAAGTTCACATTAACATGAACTTAGTGGCAGTGCAGCAAAGAGTTTTAGTAACATAAAGATATTTGGTACACTGAAGTACATTTTTAAGCAGTCAGCCAGTGTCTGGGGACTGTCATGGAAAAGTATAGAAAGCCATCTTGTCTTCCTTCGATGAAGTTCTTAATAAAAAACATCAGGATTTGGCAAATCTTCCCTGTAAAAAATCTATAGCCTGTCTGATATAAGAGATAGAAAACTCTTGTGTTAGTTTTGATGGCATACGTTTCTGAATTGCTGCTGCTTGCTTTACACGTGCGTCACATCTGGAGGAAATATTACTGATAATGTGACTAAGAAAATGAATGGTTATTATTTTCTTAAAGTAATCCTCCACGGAACTATATTCTGCGTTTGCAATTTGGGCTTGTCGCGGCATGCTGGAATTAATATTAGATTTGTTTGAAATAGTACTGACGTGCTTGAAGATACAACTTGAATAATTATCTACGTTCAATCTTACTGAAGTCAGTTCTTTACAACATTTTTCTATTAGGAAAACACCAGAAACAATGTCTTGGCTTGGACCTTGCAAATTTACAGAAGCTTCTTTCAAATAGTAAAGGGAACGCTGTAAACCTATTGAACAAAGAATGAATTCAAAGGATTCTAGTATGATAAGATAAACCATAACATTTTTTTTTTATCCAGCAGTGAAGTTGTCATTAAACATTTCAAAATTATCATCTTCATACACAATAACCTCACACGTGTGAAGTAAAAATGGATGACATAAACCGAACCTTTCCCAACCTTCAATATTTTCAACAAAGCGTGTAATGCATACATCGAGTAGTAGAAGACGTTATGACGCTGCTCATTGCCAAATACCCTTTTGGTAGATTGCCTTTAATAGTTCCTCACGTTTAGGTGAGGATTTAATCCAAATAGGTTCGAAGTGATACATCAAAAGGAAGTTTCCAAAGAAAAGTTCATGAACAGAGTATTAAGGAAAGAAGATGCCTTAGCTGAACCCGTGAAAGATTTTGAAAGGCTTGTCAAATTATCTTACTTGGATGCTTCAAGTGAAATTAATGATTCGTTAGCACATGACCAATTCATAAATACCATAACAGACGAGGATATCCAAATTAGACTCAGGAAGTTCTTCAATGTAACCTGAATCTATTAAAGTCATGGACAAACAACTAAAAGTGCCATCTAGTAGCTATGGGATCGTCAGATAAAACAGTATTGAAATATCTCCCCCCCCCCCTCTCATGATAGTCTAGAAAAGCTGAAAGGTTAGAAATGTTAGACAACTAGTTACACAAAAATGAAGTAAACCAGGAGACAATAGGTATTTAAAGTGTAACTTTAAAGGACATTTTGCTAAGCACTGCAGACAAAAGCCTGTAGGGAATAAAAAACTCCCCTCAAAGAATGTCAGAAAAAGGGAACTGTTATAAATGTTGGAAACATGGCCATCCCAGCTGAGACTGTGAGGAGTCAATGATAGTTAATAAACCAATGAGATAAGTTCCATATCCCAACCAGATCAAAGAAAACAAAGAGCTAATCAGATATTAGAAGACAGAGACCAGTTGAACTTATTGGACAAAATTTTGGTGAGAAAAGTAATCTGCCCTAAATGAGATAATATGTTCATTATTTAAAGTAATGAGTCCATGAATCAACGGGTTTATTGATGGGAAGCCTTGGAGTATGTTTATCAATACCGGTTTTATAACTACCAATTTTCTATCCGATTTAATAGTGAAAAGTCGGAAAATGCCTCCAGAGATGAAGAAAGAAGATGGATTTATGCAAACATCAAATTCCAGCAAGAGAAGTCATAATTTTTTGATAATTACAACATCAGAGGTTAAACTTATAGTGACAACAAGGAGAGCAGTTATTGTTCACCACGAAGTAAAATACTCATACCAGGACTTATTAGGAATAAATTAACATCAAGTGACTGGGAGGAGGGGGGCGGTAGTATAATCAAACACTCAGCATATCCTGAGGGATTAGTGGTTGGAAGAATTCACGTGGAGCTGAAAAGACAATATGTCATCATTTGGGTCAAGAACACGACAAACCATGAAATTCAAGTCGAGACTGGATAGGAAATTGCGAGATGTGCAATTGTACAAATAGTACTTCCACATCAAATAACGTCATAAGTACATACTTTTGAGGTAAGCTTTAGGAAGTCTGATGTAAAATCTTCACATAAAAAAGTCTCACATATAAGAGCTATATGAATGCATCTGTAGAGGTTCTAAAACTGATCAAGACTACATGACTTGCTCAAGGAACATGAAAATATATTTTCCATTGGACCTCATGATTTACGCTGAACAAATAAAATATCTTATAAGTTTGGTCCTGAATATGCAAGCCCAGTATGTCAGTTTGCCAAATGACTCTCACTTGCACAAGAGGCTGAAGTTTTTAAAAATATAGAAATCATGAGGGAAAAAGGACTAATAGGACTAGTCCTTAGGTGTAATATATAGTATTTGTCAATAATAAGAATGGATCTATAATATTTTGTGTAGAGTACGATAAAATGAATGAATTAAAAAAATTAAGGATGCCTACCCACTGCCAAGGACAGGCTCTACTTTGGATGCTTTATTTGGATGATATTGGTTTTCAACTTTGGATCTGAAAAGTGGATATTGGCAAGTGCAAATCAACAAAGCAAGCAGAGAGAAGACAGCCTTCATTGTGGAAAATTTATTGTGCTACCATCTGGATTATGTGATGCATCTGTTATATTTCAATGACTAATGGAGTGTGCTCTCTCTGAGATACCATGAAATGTGGTACTCGTCTACTTGGATGAAATATTCACAAATAGGAATACCTTTGAAAAGTCTTGTTATAAGCTAAGGAAAGTGCTGAAATGGTTGAGAAAATAGAACCTCAAACTGAATCCCAAAAAGTGTGAATTGTGCCATAAACAGATAAGTTTCCTGGGATACATAGTCAGCAGAGAGTGTGTCTACATACCAATCTAAGGTTAAATCTGTCCAGAATCAGTCAACACCAAAGAACCTGAATGAGGATATCTGGGACTGTGTTCTTACTGTCATTGTTTTGTAAAATCACACTCTAACATAGCCTGTTCTTTGCACAAATTACTTGAAACCTAATAGGTTTTGTTGGAATGCTTACTGTGAATAAGTATTCAACAATATGAAGAGATAACTAACCACTGCTCCTGTATTAGCATACCTGACTCTTGCAATCAGCTCATACACATACCAATGATTTTGTAGTGGGAACAGTGTTATTACAAGTACACCATGAAAAATAATACACAATTGCTTTCTATAGCGAGGAAATGAATGCTACAGAAAGGAAGTGTTTTGCATCTTGGAAAGAGATATTGAGTATTATTTGAGCATTAAGTCATTTCTGTCATTACCTATATGGACAAAAATGTATATTCCATATAAGTCATGCATCATTAAAGTGGCTGGTGGATATTTGCAATCCAGAAAGCCAGATGGCTCCAAAGACTCCAGGAGTACAACTTTAATATTGTGTGTCACTCTGAAGATAATTATGTAAATATTGATACATTACCTCTAAGACCATGTGTTAATGAAGAATATAATCATTGCAAAAAGAGGGAAGCACAGAAGAGTAAAGATGACCAAGCTAAAGTACAACAAAATATAATCTAAGATTGGGCATGCACAAGTGATGTTATAGAATTAATGTGGTACAACACTC